AGGAGGAGAGGTGAGGGAAGAGGGGAGGAGTGGAGGGAGGAATGAGACACAAGAGAGAAAGAGAAAGAGGGAGAGGGGAGGGGTGGAGGGGGGAGAGGAGTATGGGGAGGAGGGAGAGAGACGGAATGAGACAGAACAGAGAAGATGATTGTGGTCTTTGTGTGTCTAATCTTGTTACTGGGGAGCTCTACCTTCCTCGTGCTGATGGGAGGGAGAGTGGGAGAGTTATTGGCCTGTCTATCTGTCTGTCTGTCAGTCTGTCTGTCTGTCTGTCTGTCTGTCTGTCTGTATGTCTGTCTGTCTGTCTGTCTGTCTGTCTGTCTGTCTGTCTGTCTGTCTCTGTGCTTGTATTTACGCCAGTGCATGCACGTGGTTTATTTCTTTCTAAGCAGATATTGATAAACAAATTGAGTTATTGTTTGATTTTCCCCCCCTCAAGCCCCTACCTCGCAGATGATCCCTGTCGCGTGTTTAGTTTCTTAAACTGACTCAAAATTCCAAACAATCACCCATAAAGATGGTTCTCTTCTTTTGCACTTCTCTTGTGGGTGGGTGGTTGGTGGGTGCTCTGGTGTGGTTTGCTCCTTCTTCCCTATCAAATATATATCGTCTTCATCTCCCCTCCTTCTTTTTATTGTGTGTTTGTTACTCTCTTGTAACACCTCTAATCTTCGGCTCTTATATGACCTTATTGTGTTGCAAGTGCCGTAAAACACTTACTAAAGCTTTTTTTTTAAGATGTTGTTTAATTTTTCCCCCCTCAACCCCGTACCTCGCAGATGATCCCAGTTGCGTGTTTAGTTTCTTAAACTGAGACCAAAGGCCAGACAATCGCCCATCTAATTCATGTCATGCTCATAACTGTGCCTGATCTACAACAGGGAACTGCTGCTTTTTCTTTCCTAATCCTTACTATCGTCATTTTCCTCTTCTTGTTTTGTATGCTTGTCACACTCTTGTGACCTGCTATTTTGGGGTGTCTTGATAGTCGAAGCAGACTTTGTGCTTTTGAAGCTAGAGAGGTGAGCAGTCTAAGTCTGATTCCCTGTAAAGACTTCTCTGTTGACTCCCACCCCTTGGCGCTCATATGACCTTATGCAGTTGCGAGCGCCGTAAAACCCTCTACTATAAATATAAGACAATCACCCATAAAGATTTTTCTCTTGTTTTGCATTTCTCTTATGCCACAATGTAACAGTGCGCGTGATTTTATGGGAGCTTAGATTGTTTGTTCAAGGGAAGAAATCCTGAAAATTTTGCTTTTTATCTTCCCCTGTCTCAAATGCGTTAGCCAGTACAAAAATATATTATGTGAGAGTTCGCGTTTCCATGTCTGCATATTAAGTATTTGTGTGTTATGATTGAGGGGGGAGATCAGGTGTACCTTTGTGTCTGTGTGTGTGAGTGTGTGAGTGTGTGTGTGTGTGTGTGTGTGTGTGTGTGTGTGTGTGTGTGTGTGTGTG